CTTAAATTAAGCTTCATTACTCAAGGAAGCATCACAGGTATTTTTCCAGGGGTAAACAGACTTTTAAAGAGCTAGTTGTTATCATTTCATATTTTACAGATAAGGAAACTGAAGATCAGAGAAGTTAAACTCTCATGCCATGGTCATGTATAACTAGAAAGTAATGATGTTTGTAATCAAGCTGCATTTTATTTTTCTTTAGAATGCATGCTTCTCAACTTCACCACATGGGCTAGAAAGGAGAATAGTATAATCTTCGTGTCCTGAGAAGATAATGACCTAACTCTGGTAGAAGTAGTAATGAAAAGGAAGCAGTGGATATAAGCATGTCTCAAAGAAGGGAAGCCACCTGATTAGCTGTGGAGTAAGAAGCAAGGGATTAAGAAAAGTCACCTATAATACTTTATCTTCCAGCCTGGGGGACTGGAAAGTTGAGAGAGGAAGCTTATGTATATGCAGATGAGGGAAGAGCCAGAAAAGGGCGCAGAGCCAGGTAGAGTAGAGGCATAATATGTCTGTACTTGATCTCATCTCTAGGTTTAGAAGCGTTTGGAAAAGAATAATTTTGCCCATTTATGTGCAAATCTCCAGCATCCATTCTTATACCCATCATGTCTGGTAATTACAGAGATGTGATTTGCATTAGGACCAGATGCAGGGATCTATTGACACAAAGAAGACACCTGATAATTACAAGAGTTCAAATGCAGCCAATCAGTGAATACAGACGGGAGAAAGCAACAATTGCCAATGGAAAGCTCGCCAAAACAGACGAGTCTGGCTGACAGAAGAAGAAAAAGCCTTTTATTTAGAAAAAGTATAAAATAAATTGCACCCCCCTTTTTTTTTTGTCTCTACCTTTCATAGAAAGATTGTCCTGAAAGGCAGACTCCCTCTTTTAATGAGATTCTGGAAAGACAAAACAGCTGATTAGCCCCAGCATTTGAGAAGAAAGATTTGTCCAAATTATTTTTAGAAAATTAGCACCAAAGCCAAACAGTCTCCATTTCTGCATTTTCATGATCTCTGCATTTATTTTCATGGCCTCTCCTTTACCTCCTGCCCATTACTCTACAAATCTCCAGGCTCCTTCTCTCACCTTCTAGTTTTCACAAACTGAAACCAGACTGCTCTTTCTAAATCCAAGACCTGGTGATGACACTTTTCCTTCCCCGTGCTTCCTCAGAATCCTTCAATGGCAGCCCATCCCCACCTGAATAACCTAAACTCCTCCCTCCAGAGAGACCCAAGTCAGGCTTTCCATAGGTTATGGAAAATGACCAACAGGGCCAGGCATGGTGATTCACTCCTGTTACCCCAGCACTTCGGGAGGCTGAGGCAGGCGGATCACCTCAGGTTAGGAATCCGAGTTCAGCTGGCTAACGTGGTGAAACACCATTGTAAAAATACAAAAATTAGCTGTGCATGGTGGTGGGCGTCTGTAATCCCAGCTACTGGGGAGGCTAAGGCAGGAAAATTGCTTGAACCGGGGAGGCACAGGTTGCAGTGAGCCAAGATCACGCCACTGCACTTTAGCTTGGGTGACAGAGTGAGTCTCTGTTTCAAAAAAAGAAAAGAAAAAAGAAAATGACCAACAGTCCTTCCTTTCATGGGCTTCTAGATTTTTTAATTCTGTGGGCTAGAAAGTTTAAAATTAACGAAGAGTGATTTATAGATGCAAATGTCTATTACCACCCTTATCCCATAGAAGAAAACATTTTAACATCTAAAGAGTAGAAAAAGTAAAACTAAAATAAAAGTCCTTTAGGTTCCCCTAAAGCTTCTGTGTCTTAGAGAGAACACTGGCTGACGCTATTTGGTTGTAATACAGTTGTTTGAAATAGGTATTTGCTGTTTAAGGAACAGGGAACTATTTTTGTTGTTTGTTGTTGTTGCTGTTGTTTTCTCCCTGGGGCATTCTGAGTGCCTGGAAGCACTTGATTTGCTTGTGCAGTCCAACCCTTAAATGCCTGGTCATTCTCGGTGTGATCCTGCATCCCAGCCCCTGTCGCCTGACCCGGCAATGAGTCAGCCAGCCCCGTAAGAGGGAGGGCAGGGAGAGACACACGCCCAGCCTGTGCCATTGCCGCTGCCCCCGAGGTGACTTGGTAACTCCTGCAGCTCCCCCAGTAGAGGAGAAATGACTCTCTTTTCTTCAGGCAATGAGACTTCTCCACACCTGCTTAGAATACAGATAAACCGGAACCAGTAAGTCTCTTCTTTGGCTCAGGATCCTTCCTTTTCTCTCCAATTGGGTGGTCTCAGGAGGAAGACAGGCAGCAATAGAGATTGTTTGTGTGCAAGCCATAGTCTGTGTTTCTGTCTAAATATCTCTAGAGGAACAATTAGCTGCTCCGTCCCTAGAACTACATAATGAGTTTTTTTG